TGAAAGTTAATGCAACTTGTAAGGTATGCAAATGAACATTTCCTCGATACATTGATAGAAAATGTAAAATTGTAGAGGGACTTGTAATATATTATTTTGAAAAATACTTCCACTGGTGCTGCAGCTTTCCCCATCGTGTCAGAGTGACTGCAAACTGAAAGGCCGAAAGACAGATAACAAGGAGGAAACACTGTAGATCAACAAACAGCGAGGTGGAAGGGAGACAGAGAATGGGGGCTAGTGACTTGTGATGGGAAGAGTGTTATTTAGCAATCTCCCAAACTGAAGAAACCCCTGCCAAATTTGGAAGCAGCGCACACACACACACACATACACATAGAGACACACACTTGCAAAAACCTCAAAGCACCTGCCAAAGCATGGAAGAGGAAAAATGTGACTAATTACATCTCTTTCCAAGCCGCTGAAAGAGTAAATACCAAAGAAGAGACATGCATATTCATAGCAGGGCACAGCGGGATTGACTTGGCTGTTGAAAATCATCCAGAATGAGATTGTGAAGTGAGGAGAGAGGAAGCTTTTGACACAACAAATTGATGATTATTAGACAGACAGACAGGGAGACAGACATGGAGCAACAGACCAATTCAGAGAAGCAGCGTGAGCACCACACAGCAAGTCATATGAAAGCTGCCTGCTGGTTTCTAAGAGATGATGATGCACTTTTAAGATCACACGTCAGCTTTTGATTTGGTTTAATAGGCTGTGCAGTCATGGAACTTTGGCACCACAATTAGCATATCACTGTATTTTTTTTATATCTCATTTAAATGCTGAAGGCAGTGAAACCGAAATGTTATGTTATCTTCTTGTTAAAAGACATGTAGACGGACAAAACTTCCCACAGATTGAACATTTAGTTGAGTCATGGGGGTGAGTCACTAATCAGACATCGTACACTGTGTGAAAACCTGTAGAACTCCCTTTTTGCCTAAAATACTCCAGTTCTGAAATTGTACAGTAGTGTTCAAATGGTGTGTGTGTTTTTTTTCTTTTTGCGTGTGGGAGGTTTGATTTCATAAGTCCATATTGTTTTATCAGCCTGTAGGTAGCACATTTCACCAAGGAAGGGCCACTGTTGGTTATGCAACGTTGCTCGCAGGCTTTCCCCAGGCATCTTGACCCGTCTGAGGAGGGAAAGCAGTGTTTCTAACGATGTTAACAGTATCTGTTTTCTATTCCGGGAAGGTTCTATTTCCATGGGAGTGTGAAAGAAGCAAAGATTTTGTTTAAATTCTGATAAATTTCAAGAAACTCTTCAAGAAACCGGTTTCAGCTTACTGCATACTTGTACGTCTTTGTCTGAACTCACCCCCAAGAACCTGCTTTTGTCCAAACTACTGGACAAATAGTTTACTACTATATAGTAGACTACCCAGGATGCAACTGTGATGCCTTATATTGCGTCAGTATGAGCATATCTACTCGGTGGCATGTCTCTTCGACTTCTTAAAGGAGCAAGTACTTGAAAGACTGAAAAAAAATTAATAAATTGCTTTTTTGATTGTGATTTTAGGGTCTCCATTACACAGCGGGGGGAAGAAATAATGAAAGCTGCAGATAAGAAACAACGTGCACATGGCAGGCTGGAACAGCAGGTTGTTTATGGTGTCTGCAGACTAGCTGACAGTTGCTACTGATGGCTCCCAAAGCTGCTAAAATATATCCCTGGGCAGACTTCCCAACTTTGTTACTCATATGTGCATCTATGGTACCTCCTGCAGGAACTGCCACTGAAAATGATATCGGCATAAAAAATAAAAACCCCATTGTCCCTGCTATAGTACCACTGCACACACTGTATAGCTCTATGTATATCTATAAATTCAGGGTTGTAAGTATTTAGACATTGAAACCATTTTAGTAATTTTGCCTCCACCACAATGGATCTGAAGTGAAGCAATAAAGATGCAATTGATCAGCAGACTTTCAGCTTTAATTAAAAGGGTTGAACCAAAATATTGCATTAACCGTGGAGAAATTATAGCCATCTTTCAGGGTTCCTCAATTTTCGCAGGTTCAAAAGTAATTGAGATATTGACTGATAAGCAGTTTCATGGCCTGTTTTCTCATTATTTTGTAACAGATTAAAGCGATAAAGGGTCAGGAGTTGATTCCAAGTGCTGAATTTGCATTTGGTGCCTGTTCACAGGAAGTTTCAATAAAGAGGTGTCGATGCAACTCAAGGATTTACTTCATAAGGCAGAAGAAAAAACAAAAACACAGACCAATCAGAGAGGTACAGAACCTTTAGGAGTGGCCACATCAACCATTTGATGCATTCATAAAAAGAAGGAATGCACTGGCAAGTTCAACAACATCAGAAAACCACAGCAGACCATGAAAGTAGTGGATAATTGCCCAATCCTTTTCCTGGTGATGAAAACCTCATCACAGCATCCAACCAAGTGAAGAACACCCTCGAAGATTATTGTCAAAGCCTTCAATCAAGAGACACTTTGATGAATGTAAATGTAGAGGGTTTACCTTAAGATGCAAACCACTGGTAACAGTCAAGAACAGGTCAGACTTTATCGGAAGACATTCAAAAAAGCCTGCCCCCTTCTGGAACAAGATGCTTTGGATAGATGATACCAAGATTGCATCATCTGCCTGTCATGGGGAGACAGTGTGATGGTATGGGCATGCATGGCTGCCAATGGAACTGGGTCACTGGTGTTCATTGATGATGTGACTACTGATAGGAGAAGTGGGATGAATTCTGACGTCTACAGTTTCTGCTCAGATTCAGTCAGTTGCTGCAAAACAGATAGGACGGCACCTCACAATACAAATGCAATATGGCCAAAAACATACTGGCAAAGCCGCCCAAGAGCTTCTAAAAGCAACAGAATGGAATACTCCTGCACAACTGGGTTAGTCACCTGACCTCGACCCAGCTTCTAAATTAACTGAAGACATAATAGAGGGCAGAAAAACCCACAAACAAGCAGCAACTGGAGACAGGTGCAGTAAGTTCTTGGCAAAGGATCTCAAGGGAGGGAACTTAGCATTTGCTCCATGGGTACCAGACTCCAGGCAGCCATTAACTACAAAGGATTTGCATCCAAGTATTAAAAATAATCCTTATATTTAATTATGTTTGTCCAATTACTTTTAAAGCCTGAGAAAATGGAAGGACTATGTAAAAGGAAAAAAAAAAAGAAAAAAAAGGCTGTAATTCCTAAAAAGTTTATGCAATATTTTTGTTGAACCCCTTGGATTAAGGCTTCTAGTCTACACTTTACTTCAGTTCAAGTACAGAAATTGCACAATGGCCCAAAAACATATGGATCTGACTCTTTATACTGTTAAAATATTACATGCTCTTAGTGTCAGTATCTCTTTGCAATATTTAGTGATGGTGCACAGGCTGTCATTGAGACGAGTATTTTATTAACTAGTGTCCTTATGCATATATTGGAGATCCAATTAGAGGTGCCACTTCGGTATCCAAGTGTGTGACAGCAGAGAGAGACCTTACATAATCCTCTGAATACAGCTCAATGTTCTGATTAATTCAATTCAACTGAAATTCAAGGTTCATGTTTAAATGTCCACCAAAGGATGGCTCAGTTTGTGACAACGTACTTTCTCAACAAGACAAGCCACCCAGCATACAGCAATGCTAGAAATTGGTCCCTTGGCCATTTTAACCTCAGCTAGGCACTTTTAATAGCCATCCACAAGCTTCTGCCAAGCTTCTGGTTGTATCTTTGATCACTTCTCTTCACAGAATTGGTGCAGACTTCCTGACACAGCCCACAGGTTCTTTATAGGGTTTAAATCAGGACTTTGGGAAGGCCAGTCTAAAAATCTTAGTTCGAGCCTGATTTAGACATTTCTTTACCATTGCTGATGCATGTTTGGGATCATTGTCTACCTGAAGCACCCAGCTGCATCATAAACCTTCTGGCTGATGATTTGAGGTTTTCCTGAGGAATATTGAGGTAATCCTCTGTCTTGATTATTCCATTTACTTTGTGTAAAGCTTCCACTCACAGCAAAACAGCCCCAAAGCATAATACTGCCACCACCATGCCTGATGTCTGGTGTGGTGTTCTTGGGGTTAAAGGTCTCGCCTTCTCTCCTTCAACCATATTTTTGGTCACAAGCTGATATTTTTGTTTCATCTGACCACAGAGCTTCTTTCCACATTTCTTTGTCCATGTGATCTACAGGAAGGGTATCTTTCTTGAATGGCAGCATCCCAGCTTATGGCCAGCACTAGTGGACAGTGACAACTGTGGGTTACCAGCTTCTCATTTATTGGTTTTAGTTAATTCTTGATTGACTCTTGACCATCCTGAACAAGTGTCTCCCAGCAGCAGGTGATAGTTTGTGTTTTCTGACTGATGGTGACACAACCGTACCACGCTGGTGATGAAAACAATGGTTGCATTGTTGTTTCTGGGATATGTAGCTGCTGTGAAAAGGCTTCAAGTGACTTTCCTGACTTGTTTAAATCAATGATTTGCTTTTGCAAACCTGTGCTGAGTTCCTCAGACTTCCCCACTGTTGTGTTTGTGTCTATAGAGTCTATTAAATGGACCCAATTTGAATCGGCTCAAAGAAGTCAGCAGCTGTAGTCAGTAGTAACAAGAAATGAAGAGGCCATGCTACTGAGACAGTTTGATGGACACACTGTACATGATTCGACTAGCTTTTGAGGAAAGATGGTTTTCAATAGTCGCATCTCATATTAAAAGAATTATTGCTACTTGAAGAAATGGTGTCATGAGTGCAAATGTTATGTTCAGAATTTTCATTCACAATTCCCTCCAAATGTCCAAAAGAAAAAAAACTTTATTTTATGTACAAAGGCTAAAAATGCAGCATCACATTCCGAACATCTCCTCTTTTAGCCGTTCACAAATAGCATGTGAAAGCGTGTGGCATGAGCTTGTGAGAAAAGCAGCACATTCTGAAAATAATAATGTTTACCATACCATGTGTTTCTCTTGTTTTTTTTTTTCCAGGCTTGCAAGATGTCCTGCCAGAGTTCCTGCGTGGGCGTTTTGTGGAGGCAGCCCTCAGCTACGTGGCGTGCAACTCAGAGGGCGAGCTGCTCTGCCGCAACAACGACTGCTGGTGCCGGTGTTCTCCCCGCTTCCCAGAATGCAACTGTCCCTTCGCCGACATCAAGGTCATGGAGGAGAACCTGGAGAAGAGTAAAGACGCCTGGAACAACTTCAACCAAGAGTTCATGGAATCAGGTATGGGCTGTAGTTTTTGTCTGTTGAGATGTTTTGGACGTTGAATTAAAAGGATGCTTCTGGTGGCAACAAGAGCCGAAAGAGGGAACAAGTAAATCCAAATATGGTTTTTGAAAATCCTGCTGAAAACGTATGCATTCTGTATGTAAGTGGTATGGTTTCCACTCACAGTATGTTTGAAATCTGGTGTTTAATCTAACATTTCCGTCCGTGAAGTGCGATATTAAGCGATGTTTCTATTATAGTTGAGATGAAACCTGGAAATAGTTATGCAAATTTAAAGTTCCCTTCCATTTTGTTGCTCCATTTGGATATGTTCGCTGTGCTGAATGAGACTCTAGAAGCCTGTTTCCACCTTCATCTACCGAAGGAGAGAAAAGTTCAGCTGTGGTCATCTTGAAGGATGTTTCCATTGTAATTCAGTTTGGTGCTAACGTTGCACTCTTCACCTTTGCTATAAAGATTTTACAAGAGCAACATGGAATACTTGTACAAAACGTTGCAACTCATGCACACTCGCTGCAGCTTCCCAAAAATCATTTTTATCTGTACTTTCAAGTCTAACTGAAAACAAACAGGAAAAAAAAACAAAACCTGTCAAACACCCCTTTTGCAAAGTGAATTATGGATCTCCATCCAGGGTAATTTGCTGGCTGACACAGTCACCTTGCATTTTTATACGTGCGTGCTTTCCATTTGAACAATATTTGCTTATTCATATATTCTGAGAAATGTTTTTGGGAAAATAAAAAAACATCAGACACTAACCATAATCTCCAGCAGAATATATTTATGTGTACTAAACCATATCTGGATGGCTTCGTTTAGGTATAATATATCAATTATTAAAGTTACTATTCCTGGAACTGGTTTTAAGCTTATTTCTTAAGTTTTTGAAAAGTGAAATGAAAATCCTGATCAGAGTTGGTGCCATCTGTGCATCACACTGCTATTAGTCAGTCATAATACAGCAGCAGCTGGACAGCACCAAAGACATTTTGAAATCCAGCACAAAATGACTTTTACAAATATGGTTAAAGTGCCTTATTTAAACTCATGTAGCACTAATTTATTCTGCGCTTATGTTTGAGCAAAATCAGCATTACTTGGAAGAAGGAAAGGAGTCTACGAATGTGGACTTGCTGAGGGTGGCCATTAAATATTAAAATAACAAGTACAATTGGATCACACTCGCAGCATTTTAAACGAGGAATGAAGCTTGAAGAAATGTTGTTTAACGTATGCGTCAATAGTGAATTGTTCTGATACAATTGAAACCTGGAGCCTAAACAAAGTCAGAACATTTAAACTTGACTTTAAAACTGAAAGACAAAGGTTCTGAGTGGATTCTAGTTGTAGCAGCTGATTTAGTACAAACCTTAAGCTGCTGTCTTTAGAAATTTGAGCATCAAAACATTAATTTCCTGCATTTTGGTGAATTTTTCTAAACATGAAATTATAAATTTGAGCTTTTTCTGCATCAGTGTAAAGTCTTTAATTGTGTAAAATCAAGCTCAAGATTGTGGCACCGTTACTAAACTAAACTGGTTTCTTCAGTTTAAGTATTAGAAGCGATTGTATTTTAGCTCAGTCATGATACTGTTGGTTGTAAATTACGGACAAAATTGTGCTTTTCTGATCATCTTAAAGTAAATGAAAAGACTGTCGAGAAGTTTGCCACAGTTTTACAGACGCTTCTTTGCTTCAGCCTGCAAAACTGAAACTGACCGTCGTGATTCGCTTTAAGGCACAAAGTTGTTTCTGATTTATCGCATTAAATCTGGATTAACCTACCAGCAGAGATAGCAAACAGTTTATACTGTAGTTTTGAAATCCCCACAGTTCACATCCTTTATGTGTTGTATGATTTCTGATTTAGCCGCTTTAGTGTTGAGCCGGCAGACGTTTTTTTTTACAAAGCTGTACCCTTGAAAATGGTCTTCTTTCAACTTTAATCACTAATTTCGCAGAAAAAAAAAAACACGGTGCTGCTCAAGAAAAAATGTCTTTCTTCCTTTGAATCATCTGTAAAAGAAGTTGCAGTTGGAGAGTTTAACCTCATATTACATGCAGTTCCGTCGATAAAACTCTCCCGTCGGCTCGGTGTTGAGGCCGGCTGAAGATGTACCGACTGTGTTACAGTATATATTAAAAAAATCCAGAGACGAGCCGTGGACAGCTGGACCGGGACCGTGTTGCATAAGTTTGTTCGGTTCCAGTTCCAGATGTAACAAGTGGGATGGTGATGATTTATTGCTCCAGGCTGGATGCAGTTTCTTCTCAATAACACTCTGTTTATACAGTGTGTACCTGTGAAGTGTTCCTGTGACTGTGTTCATCATTTCACATGAAATTTACTTACAAACAGAGATGACGAGTGATAACCTACCTGGATGACAGCTCCACTGCTGTAGGTTTTATCCATAAAGACACGTATTATGTGACAGTATATAACAAATTCGTTTATATTGTGTCTGAAGGGGACACTTGCTATTTATCAGTTAAGAATAAGACTTTGAGTTTATGAAGGAAAAAGCTTCCCTTCCCTCGAAGACTGTGTGACTCATTTATGTTGAACTAGGCCATCTTTGGAAGTGGATAATTAAAAAGAAAAGTTAAATAAGAATTCAATATTGTCTTTACTTATTCAGTCTCTAAACACACAAGACGTACATTATTACTCCCTGGAATTCAGCCTGCTGTCTATTTCCAGCTTATTTGCTGAAGCTCCTGTGGAATCAAACTGTACCAGTGTGTTCAGTTCAGATTGCTTTGGAATGAAGTCACTTAGTGGATAGAATATTACACGGCAGCTTCTGTAATAAGTAATAGAATCTATTGGATTTCAAAGTAGATGCAATTTTAATCTGAAGTGTTTTGGATTACTTGAAAATCAAATATTAAAAATGTTGCAACTTATAGAAAAGAAAAAGATAAACGGATGCTCCACAAAATTGGGTTCCATAAATGTCTTATTTTTTCCCTATTGAACATGCAAATGAACTGCATTTTGCACGTTAGGTAGTCAAGTCAAATGTCCCTGTTAAACCTACACATCTACATGTAGGATGAACCCATCAGTGGCCGCAGAGGGGAAAAAAGAAAAAAGGGTGGTAATGAGATAGTAACTCGAGGCCACGAGTTATTATCTTGTGGCCACGAGTTAGATAGATAGATAGAACTTTATTGATCCTTTTGCTAGGGTACCTCGGGGAAATTGTTAAGTTACTATCTTGCTACCACGCATTATTTTTTTTTGCGGTTTACCACAGCAAAAGGAAAAAAAATACATTTATATTAAATGCTGCAACACAGCCAGAGGAAGGTCATTGATGTGTGATGTGAGTTTGGTGGCACTACAAACAATAAATGTAACCTTATTGGGTTTTTTTTTCAAAGCATTTCTTTTCGTCGTGGTAATTTGTTGACGGTCCCTGAGCTCCGGTCTGGCAGATTGTAAAGATCAATGCGATTAATAAAGAACGGAGGACGTCTCATTCTGGCTGGTTGTAGGTTGTGGTCTGTCATACACCGTTTGGAAAGAGGTGCCATTTGATTCGAGTTATAGATGCCGAAAGGTCGAATCTTTGAAAATCTTCCCAACTTTACTGAACTCTTGAAGTGACGTTGGTGAAAAATATACAATGTGTGGGAACGAGATGATCAGTGGCTACCTCAAGTTGCGGCTGTGGTTCAGGTGGTAGAGCGGCTTGTCCTCTAATCGCAAGGTTGGATCCCCGGCCCCTCCACAGTCGAAGTGTCCTTGGGCAAGACACTGAACCTGAGGTTGCTCCCAATCTGTCGCCATTGGTGTATGAATGTGATCTACTCTCAGATGTACGTCGCTTTGGATGGAAGCGTCAGCTAAGTGAAACTGTAAATTGTCTGAGTTAATAACGTATGGATGCTGTTTGTTGCTGCTAGTTTTTAGTCAGATGTGGTATTGCCAGAAATTCAAGCTTGTTTTGATGGACTGCTGCTGCTTCATGAACCTTTCACCGTGACTCAGCACCACGTTAGAAAAACCTGTCAGTTAAATACTGTTTTCATGAGTTTACATCAACATGAAAAACTGTTTTGAAAATGGCCATAAAAGGTCATCCTTGACCATGTGTACCTATAATCTAATTACACATTTTTTAAAATGTAGTTTGGGTTAATCACGTTTTCTAATCTGATTATGTGATCCCAGTTATTTCCCAACTCCAACAGTAACATACGACAAAGTTGCAAAGTCGGTAAAGTGAAGGTTGTGTGTTAGCATGCTGAGCCACGGTGACAGAAGCCCCATCAGGTGTACAATCTCACTCTTGTTAAATCGATTTTCAGCAAGCCGGGCTGCTTTATCAAAACTATTCATCACAGGCAGCGAGACACAGGTGTGTGATGTAATGGCGGCAATGATGCAGAACAAGCCGGGCGTCACTTTCGAAATTGGCCAAAGTTCTTCTTCTTTTTTTTTTTTTTGTTTTCTTTCTTTTTCTTTTTTTTTCCTACATCTCAACTCATCACCAGCTCACTCCTTAATGACTTGGGGGGGGGGTGTAGGCAGGATTTAATTGGAGACAGATTTCTGGCAGCTTCTCTTGCATTTTTTATTTTTTTTTGCGAGTGCATCCCTCCTGCAGAGTCCGGGCGATTTTGTGCACGCCGCCATTTAAGCAGAAATTGCTCTGTAAGTGACATTACGGAGGTAAACAGTGTTTCTGTGCGTTCACTTAGCCTCCTTTTGACAGCACCTGACTTTGCAAAGCTGCCTTTTTTTTCCTCATTTTGCTGCATATTAAATCTTTATAAAGACGCTCTGACACAGTGTCGAAAACAGAGGAGGGAGACGCGTAATTGCGAGGCTTTTCTTGTTCCGCTGACGTTATGGTTTTTGTCAGGAGCTTAACTTTGCGCTGTTTGTCATGAAAAAAAATGAGGCCTTTAGTGCTTATAGAGGCTTTGAGTAACAAGCTAAAAATATCAGCGAGACGCTCCTCGGTTAGTCGCACAGA